TCTTGAAGGCCACTAGGTTTTTGGGAATTTGTTACGGCAGCCACAGAAAACTAATACACACCCCCTAGTTGCCACAACCCAAACTGTCTGCAGGCCTTGCCCGCGCCCCCAGCACCACCTCTGTTGGAGAGGGCCTATGTCGGTGCCTGTCCCTGGCTGGCTGGGCGGCCCTGTGTCCACACTAACCGGCAGGAGGCCAGCTCTGGGCCCCAGCCCTGGGAAGGCCCAGAGGCTTTGTTTCTGCTGCTAAGATGGGGAGAGTGAGTGTCACCTGACCCTGCTCAGTTCTTACTTCTGGGTCAGGCCCAGCAGCTGCCCGGCCAGGCTCACTCACTGTTCTTTTCAAAGTTTTCTTGGCTACTCTAATTCCTTTTTACTTCCAGCTGAACTTTAGTGTAGTATTGAGATCTTTAAAGAGTCTTGTTAGTATTTGAGATTCAGTTGCATTCACAGATGAGCTAGAAGCTGTGCTTGTTCTATACACCGTCGGTTCAGGTGGCCGCCCCATGGGTGACACCAAGGTCCCTGCTGGCCCCATACTTTCCCCAGAGGGTCTATCTCCAGACTTCACTTCTGAGTTTGCATTTCATTCTCACTTGCATCCCTCTGACAGGCCCTGCACTTGGCTGAGGTTGTGTATGTGTCCCTTAATTATAGAAGCCTATAGTCCTTGTGTCTATACTTTGTCACTGATGTGCTGGCCTTGGTGCTGGCTGCTGAGGGCCAATGCCCGCCGGACGGGAGGTGCTTTCCAGCTCCACTGACGTTGCTCATGCCCCGGGTTCCTCTGTAGCACATGCTGAAGACCAGGCTTCAGGCCAGGCATGATGGTTCACACCTATAGTCCCAGCACTTTCGGAGGCCAAGGCTGAGGATGCTTGAGCCCAGGAGTTGGAGGCTACAATGAGCTGTGATTGTGCCACTACACTCTAGCCTGGGTGACAGAGCAAAACCTTGTCTCTAAAAAAAAAGAAGACCCGGCTTCAGTGGTCAGGTTTATGAGTCTGGTGAACAATCTGTATGTTCACCTGATGTTTTCAAAGGGTATCAGCCCCAAAGTCCTGCAGGGCAGAGTGTGGTGGGACTCCCTGGGCTTGTTCCCACTTGGCAGAGTGCCTGGCAGTTCTGGCTGTGGCCACACTATGCATGGGGCTCCCCTTGCTGCTGCTCTCTGCAGGTGGATGGTGCACAGCTGGGTGGAGGTGTGGGTGCCTTCTGCAGACCAGCTGGCTGTGGCAGCTCTAGGGCCATGCAGAACACAGTCCCTGCCCTCCAGGAACCGGCAGGAAAATGGACCCATTCATGCGCAGTCACTCTGCAGATGGGATGGCTGTGTGTGGGCACGGCGGAGGGCCCAGCCCATGCTGCACAGGCAAGCCCATGCCGTGCGGGTCGTGTCACTGTGGTTTGGAGGTAGAACCATGCCCTCGCCTGGCGGCTGTGTGATAGCGGCCCTCTCTGGACTTGAAGTATGTTAGGAACATGCTTAGAAAATGTGGATAGCAGAGGCAGGTGTGGTGGCTCACTTCTGTAATCCCAGCTACTCAAGGAGGCTGAGGTGGGAGGCTGGCTTGAGCCCAGGAGTTTGAGACCAGCCTGGGCAACATAGCGAGAGCCTGTCCCCTGCAAGAAAGACAGAGAATGCAAATAGGCTTGGTCCACCATCCCCAGCTCCAGGTCGAGGCCACAACCCTGTTGTCTGGGCAGAGTGAGAGGCCCTTCCTCCATGGGGGTTCCTGGGCTCAACATGAATGATGGGAGAGGGGTTCGGCCTGCTGCTGCCGCCTGTATGAGCAGTGCCAACCCCTGCTTTCTTCTCACTTTGTGTCTTTGGATGTGATGAAAGGGTTGTAAAGGCAGATTTTCCTGGTCAAGTTTTGGCTAATCAGTCTTTTTTGTGTTTCTAGGTGCTGGCAAAACTCCAACACTGGGTGGCGGCTTCCATGTGAATCTGGGGAAGGAGTCAAGAGCACAGACCCTGCAGAATGGTATTTCCCCTGCAAGTGCCCTGAGTGTGGGGTGGGCTACAGGAGCCGGGGGTGGAGATGCCTGCATGGCAGGTCCTGCAGTGCCTGCTCACTCAGGCCTCATGCCTCGTGGCCTGCTACTTCCTGGTCACCCTCCCACCCAGCCCAGGCTGCAGTTCTGGAGGAATTGTGCCTTGAGGCCCCTCCCGCCATCAGGGCCCTCCCGCCATCAGGGCCCTCCTGGGCACCCTCAAAGACCCTTTGCCAGGGCTGCTCAGTGCCAGGTCCATGGACCCTGCTGGGCCCACGACTGTGGGATACTGGTCTCACTGGAGATGAATATGCAAACAATTGATAGCAATTTGAAACTAGTGACATTTTCTCATGTTTTTAAAAGTACCAGTTCACAACAAATTAGAGAAATGTCTGTTGGGTTATTTGTTTTGTTATTGAGTTAGAAGAGTTCTTTATATATTTTAGATATGTCTTTTATCAGATACATGATTTACAGAAAATTTTCACCCATATCATGTTTTGTCTTTTTTTTTTTTTTTTTTTTTTTTTTTTTTTTTTTTATTTCAGCAAATTATGGGTGTACATACGTTTAGGTTATGTGTGTTGCCCTTAATCCTCTTCTTAGTTTTTATTCTTTGTAAGTAGATCTTCTTTGATTTTTTTAATGAATGATAAAATCTGAAATATTTTTTTTGTCTTTTCATTTTCTTGATGGTGCCCTTTGAAGCACAAAAGTTTTTAATTCTGACGATGTCCAATTTATTGATTTATCCTTTCGTTGACTGTGCTTTTGGTATCATAACTAAGAAATTTTGCTCAATCCAAATCATGAAAATTTATGCTTATGATTTTTTGAGTTTTCTTGTTTCACCTCTCACATTAAGGTTTTGAGCCATGCATGGTTGAGTTAATTTTTGCACATGGTAAGCCCCAACTTCATTCTTTTGCATGTGGTTGTCCAGTTTTTCCAGGACCATTTTTTGAAAAGACTATATACATTGTCCCAGTTGGCACCCTCTTGCTACCCTCCTTGAAAATCAATTGACCGTAAGTGTTAAGGTTTATTTGTAGATTCTCAATTCTATCCCATTGGTCTAAATGGCTGTCCTTGTGCTAATACCACAGTTTTGGTTACTATAGCTTTGTAATAAGTTTTAAAATGAAGATGTGTAAGTCATCTAACTTTGTTCTTCTTTTTAAGAGTATTATGTTGACCATTTTGAGTCCCTTGAATATGAATATGAATTTTAGGATCAGCTTGTCGGTTTCTGCAGTGAAGTCAGCTGAGATTTTGATGGGAATCACGTTCATCTGTAGATCACTTCGGGGAGTATTGTCCTCTAAACAGTACGAAGTCTTCTGATCTCTGAACGTGGGATATCTTTCCATTGATTTAGGTCTTTGATTTGTTTCAACAGTTTTAGTAGTTTTCAGAGTATAAGTTTTACACTTCTTTTGTTAAATTTATTCCCAGTTGATATTCGTATATTGATCTTGTGTACTACAACCTTGCTGAATTCATATTTTAGTTCTAACAGCTTTTTAGTGTATTCCTTAGGATTTTCTATATACAAGATCTTGTCGTCTGTAAATAGGTACAGCTTTCCTTTTCTTTTCAGTCTAGTTGGAATTTTTTTCTTGCCTGGCGGCCCTGGCTAGACCTCCAGTACCATGCTGAATAGCAGTGGTGAGAACAGACATCCTTGTCTTGTCCCTGCGCTAGGGAAGCATCCGGCCTTTCTCTGTCACATGTGCCGTTAGCTGTGGGTCAGTGCAGGGAGGGAGACTCTGTGCTGGGACCCCGTAGACTTGGGGTTTCCTTCGGTTCCCTCAGGAACGTTAGCAACCATAGGAGAGAACCTCCTGATCAGGTGTATCCCTGTGTCCTGCGGTCTTTACCTGCGTGCTGGAGATGGCCTGGCCGAGGTAGCATGCCTCTGGGTGGACAGCATGTCACGCTGGTCGTTTCCCCTTGACTGTCTCTGGGAGGTCACAGCTCTTTTGGACCTGCCTCTCCTCCTGGCTGCTGCTGCAAGTGGCGGTGGCCAGCACGGACGTGGCCAGAACCTGGAGCAGGCCACAGGGCTGATCCAGGTCAGCACCTGCCACAGGGGAGTTGGGCTTGTGATCATAACTCACAGCAAAACGAGTCTTTAAATTTACATTATGTTCTTTTTCTTTGATCCCTGTGGATTTATTAGTAGATCAGTGTAGTTAGCTCTTTCACTGGTTTCTGGCTCCATTCTTCTGTAGTCAGACATCACTCTCTGTGTGATTCAGTCTTTTGAAATACTTGCAGGCTTGCCTCATGGCCCACTTTACGGTCAGTTTTGGTAAAAGTACATGTATAGTGGGCACTTGAAAGGAACACCTTCTGGCAGTCAGTGGGGTGCAGTGTTCTGTACGTATCATGTAGTCAGACTTCCTCCTTGTCCCTGTCGATTTTGGTTCTGCTCATGCTGTCTGTCACTGAAAGGGTGACTGTGGATTTGTCTGTTCCACCCACAGCTTTGTCAGCTTTTTGCTTTGCCTAGGACTGTTACTTGCACACACAACTTAAAAGTCTTCCTGGCTGGTGGCCCAGCCCTGCACTAAGTAGCGCCCCAGCTTCAGGCCCTGGTGTTGCCTCGCTTCACACACTGCTTCTCGCGCTCCAGGTCAGCGCCTCTTCTTCCTCGGACTTTAAGGTCTTCTCCTTATGAGGGACTTTGTTTCCAGTCGAGAATACTGTCTGTATTTTCCCAGAAACCTGTGGTATGTTTACTAGAGTTGGTTGTACCTCAGACCCAAATTATAAAGAGTATTGTTAGTGCAGACATGTTTATTGCAGTAAAATTGGAAATCAACAACAGAGAGAAATCATCCATCTTACTTTAAAAAGAAAAAAGCCTTTCAAAATACCCTTGGTTTAAGGAAGAAATCAAAACAGAACCTGCAGGCTCCCTGGGGTGGCTGTCAGTGATGGTGTGCGGGCGACCCCTCGCTCCCACTTGCCGTGTGGGGAAGTGTTCGGGTGGGAGCCTGCATCCCTGGGGGCGTCCTACTGTGTGGGTGGGTGGCCCTGGGAGGCCCTCTGCAGACCTTTCCACTTGGCTCCCGCCAGCTGGTAGCCAGCGGCCTGGGCGTCCCGCTGCCCTCGGTGCTCTGCCTGTTCATTTCTCCTCCTCCCTGATCTTTGCACCGGCCATAGTTTTGCCTTTTCCAGAACGCCGTGTGGTGGCAGTCACACGGCTCGCAGCCCTTTCAGACGGCTTCTTTCACTCAGTGATGTGCACTGAAGTTTTCTCCACGTCTTTCCGTAGCCTTGTATGTATTTGGCATTTATCAGTTTTCCAATTTTTGTCTTTCTGGTGGATGTGTAGAGTACTCGTGATTTTAATTTGCTTCCCTGGTGAGTAATTACGTTGACCACCTTTGTTTATGCTTTTTGTCTGTTTGGACATCATACATGTGAAATACCTATTGTTGTCTTTTGCACATGTTTGTTTTTGTTATTTTTTCTTAATGATTTGTGGAAGTTCTTTATATATTATGGATTTGAGTCCTTTGTTAGATATACATATTTTGAATCCTTCTCCCAAATCTATAGCTTGTCTTTTCACTCTCTTATTGTTATTTTTTTCTTTTTTTTTCCAGCTGTTTTTTTTTTTTTTTTTTTTTTTTGAGATAAGAGTCTTGCTCTGTCACCTGGGCTAGAGTGCCATGGCATCAGCCTAGCTCACAGCAACCTCAAACTCCTGGGCTCAAGTGATCCTCCTGCCTCAGCCTCCCAAATAGCTGGGACTACAGGCTTGTGCCACCATGCCCGGCTAATTTTTTCTGTGTTTAGTAGAGATGGGGTCTCATTCTTGCTCAGGCAGTTCTCAAACTCCTGAGCTCAAGCAATCCTCCTGCCTCAGCCTCCTAGAGCGCTAGGATTACAGCGTGAGCCATGGCGTCCGGTCTCTTAATGTTGTCTTTTGATGAATAGAAATTTAAAAATCTTAGTAAAATCCTAATATATCAGTTTTTTATGGATAGGTCTTTTGTGGCTTGTTTAAGAAATTCTTTTCTACCCCAAGATCTGAAGATACTCTCCTGTGTTTTGTTTTCATCTGGAAGCCTTATTGTTTTATATTCCACATTTAGGTTTATGATATACCTTAAATGAATTTTTTTTTTAGAGGCAGGATCTTGATCTTTTGCCTAGGCTGGAGTGCAGTGGCGTCATCATAGCTCACTGCCGCCTCAAACTCCTGGGCTCAATGATCCTCCTACCTCAGCCTCCCGAGTACCTGGGACTTATAAGTGCACCAACACACTTAGCTAATTTTTTCTGTATTTAGTAGAGATGGGGTCTCACTCTTGCTCAGGCTGGTCTTGAACTCCTGACCTCAAGCAGTCCTCCTGCCTCAGCCTCCTAAAGTGCTAGGATTACAGGTGTGAGCCACCACACCCAGCCTTAAATCAATTTTTTTGTGAATGGTGTGAAGTAGGAGTTGAGGTTTACATTTTTCAATATGGATGTCTAATTTCACCGTCTTTTCCCCACTACAGTGCATTGACTCCTTTGTCATAAATCAGGTGACTAGATATGTATGAGTGTATTTGCAGACTCCGGTGTGACACCACAGGTAGACTCTCTTAACTGCTACAAGTTTGTTTGTCATCTGTCATCCAAACCCCTTTGGATCATGATGCATTATTCCTTTTTTATGCATCCCTGAGTTAGAGTTTACATCTTTTGTTTAAGGCTTTGGAGTCTAAGGTCATGAAAGATATTGAACTGTTATTTTCTTTTCTCATGATGTCAGATTTTAATTATCAAGATTATGCTGGCTATAAATGAGTTGGGGGAGTGTTTCTTCTTTCTGTGTTCTCTGCACGAGCTGGCATGTGACTGCATACCTTAGTCTCCTCCAATCTGTGACGGTTTCCCTATCATCCTTCCATTTGGGTTTGTCTCATGCTTTCTCCAGGTTAGACTGACGTTGTGGATTTTGCGCAAGATCCCACAGAGGCGGGGTGCCCTTCCCTTTGCTCCATATCAGGGTGTGTCATGTTGCTTTAGTGACCTGGTTAAGTCACTGCCTGGTGCCTCCACGCGAAGTCGCTATTTTGTGTTTCCACGTCCTCTTAGTCCACCCACACTCCAATTGAGCTCCCTTCCTGGAGGGAGGGAGGTTCAAGTGAGCGCAGGTCAAGCCAGCGCAGTCGCCGGAAGTACCGTGAGGGCGCGCGGAGGCCGCACCGCACTCGTCTCTCCCTGAGGCTCTGCCCGCTGTTCTCGGCATCCCCCTCCCGCACCGTGGGTCGTGGATCTTGCTGCAGTGGTTATTCTTTTGTTTGAGCACTGACTTTTTGTCTCCTCATTCCGTCAACACTTCAGTAATTGGAATTTACCAACCAGAATTCTTCTGCCCGGAAGGCGTCTGCTGTAGGGCTGTCAGTGCTCGCTGTGTTCTGAAGCCACGTTAGGTCTGCGCTTTGTGGGCCGTTACTCCTTTCTGTTGAGCTCCATGGCTGTGGCACAGCCTCGTTATTTCTGATCGTCTTTCTTGCCCGGGAGTCTGTCACCCGTGTGGGTGTGAGCTGTCTGTGGGCTGCGAGCCCTGCCCCGGACCTCCCCAGCCCGGCAGCTGCTCCTCCAGAACCGCCCTTGGAGAACCCCGGGCCCAGCTCCTCCTCCTTTTCCAGCTTCGTCTGGGCTCGTGCTGCAGTCGAATTATTTTTGAGTTTTCAAAAAAATTTCCTTGTTTTTTTTTTAATTTTTCAGGGCCCTTTTTTTTTTATTTCCGGCTTTTTTTTCCTTTTTCTTGGTTGGTTTTCTTTTTTCTTTTTTCCGGGGTTCGTTGGGGTTTTGGAGGTTTCGTTTTTTTGGGGCTTTTGCTTTTGGGTTTTGTTGTTTGTCCTTTGTCGTGTTGACTTTTTCCTCACATGTTGTCGGCTCTTGGTTGTCAGTTTACATTTATGTGCATGTGGGTCTGAAATCGCTCCTGTTGCTTCTGCAGGCCCTGGGGGCACCTATTGGCTTCTGGGTACGTGATGAGTTGGGAACGGTGTGACCCACAGCCAGCTGGCATCCCCAGAGGCTGTGTTGGCCTGACGTTGGGGCCAGCAATGTGGGAGCCTGGCGCTTTGGGTCTCCTCTGGACCCGGGGTCTGTAGCTTCTTGCACATGCTGAGTCTGGCCCCGTATCCTTCTCCAGCGGCCCTGCCTGCCTGTGATGTCACTCTGTTTCCTTCCGCTCTCCCTCCCCTGTGGTCGCGGGTCAGGTCGTGGGAGGCTGCTATTCAGCTGCTGGCTCAAAAGGAAAGGCAGGCCTTATTTTTATAAAACGTCCACATTTTGAAGGCACCTGTGTGCTGGTGAGTTTACTTGTAGAATTCATTTATTGGAAGGAAGCCTAAGGAGACTCATAAGCTATGGTTAGTTAATTTGTAATTGGTTTTTGCATGAATTTGTATTTATTAATAACCTCTTTGTACATTTACAAATCACACACGTCTAAGGTGTGTGATTTGTTCTGTCTGCTAATGGTGCTTGCTGAACTCACAGGAATTTAAAACTTACTCGGGAGTGGGTGGGGAGTAAGTGCTGATGGCTGCGGGGCTTCTTTCTGGGGCGATGGAAAACGTGCCAAGTTGCGACAGGCGCTCAGCTGTGTGATACACTGAAGCCACTGACTTGCACACTTTAAGTGGGTAAATGTGTGCATTATGTGCAATAAAGATGTTAAAAAACAACTTACTGTAGTAATCCCAAGGCCCCGTCTTAGTCTTTTCAGGCTGCTATAACAGATACACCACAGACTGGGACGCCTAAACAAATTTATTTCTTTCAGTACGGAGGCTGGGGCTCAGGTGGACAGCCATCCACCCCCTACTCTCTGGTCAGGGCAGAGATGGTGCCTTCTGGCTGTGTCCCCACATGACAGAAGGGTTGAGCTGACTCTCCAGGTTCCCTTTTTTAAGGATACCAGTCTCATCATGAGGGCTCTGCCTCGTGACCTAATCACCTGCCAAGGCCCCGAATACCATCCCCCTGGGGGTTAGGTTTCGATGCATGAATTTTGGGTAGATACGAAATTCAGACCACAGACACCGCAAAGCCACCGCATGTTGGGAATGTGGACTGGTGCTGGCAAGCAGCCCCTGTAGGATTGGGCTGTGGGATCGGGTCCTAGCTCAAGCACACGGCCTCTGGAGAGGGCTCTCTCTCCCTTACCTTTTATTATGGAATTTTCCAAACACATGCCAAAGAGCTAGTAGGTAAGGATCCCCTAGCTCCAATGGGTCCCCTGCCAGCTTACTCTGTTGACAGCTTAGCCTTGCTGGGCCTTGGGGTGGTCTGTGTCCGTGTGTCTGCTGTGCTGATAGGAAGGCAGTGGTTGGCGCTGCTGTCTTTCTGCCCAGGCATCAGCTCTGGGGATGATGACCCACCCTCCATGTTGGTTCAGCCTGACTGGAGGCCTCAGAGCTGTTGAGCTCCAGGCAGATGTCCTTGGTGCTTGAGGGAGCAGGGCCACAGCAGGGTGGGGGCTCTGTGTGGCTGTGCTGACTGCCAGGTGCCTCCAGTGTGAGGATCGTCCCCAACCTGCCAGACCACACACCCTGGGCATTGGCTTCCTTGGGGCACGGGCTCACCAGGTGCTGCCTTTGGCTGACAGTCACTGTGAGTGCAGCTTGGCCATGAGCAGAGCACCAGCCCTTGTGTCCCCCAGCCCACATGTTCTTATCAAAGAAATCAGGGAGGTCAGTGTTTAACTTTTCTGTGGGTGAAGTGGAGGTCACCTCAGGTGGCCTTTGCAGGAGGGCTTTGGGTAGACACAATTGGGGAGCCAGAGGACGCGGGTGGGAACTGGAAATCTTTGTGACGGCAGTTCTCCCTGGTGTCCTGAGCCTTGACCCAGCCATGGGCGTCTTCTGCGTACCCCAGTGGGCCTCTTGCCTGGAGTTAGGACTCTGCCTGCCACGGCGCCCACACTGCAGATGGAAGTGGGGTGTTAGGTCGGACCAGAGCGTTGATGGAAACAGCGGTCCACTCCCCAGCTCTCCCCACACAGCTCTCCTGCCACTGGCCTTTGAATGTCTGCCCTGCATTTTCATTTGTGTTTGCCAGATGTCTGTGGTTACTTTTCCTGCCTAGGGGGCAGTACCTCCGCTTCCTTCTTCATGCCATCTTTTGGCCCATAGCTTTTGGGAAGGTCTTGCTCCAGGAAAGTATGTGGACTCAGACGCTGCAGTCCTGGCCACATCCAGTGTCTTGCACTCCCTAGGAGGGCCCAGTGCCCTCAAATCTGCTGTGTGTTGCACGTGCCCTTGCCGTGGCCCTTTCCCTGTGGGTGGGCATGGAGGAGTTGGAGGTCAGGTTGGACCTTACTACGGTCCTTTCTCTGGCCAGGCAGCCAGCTCCTGGAGAGCAGGGGCCAGGCTGGACAGGGCTGGACTGAGCAGAGAGGGCCTGCTGGGAAGGGCAGGGCGGGCTGTCCCCGCCCCTGTGCCACTGGGTCCGGAGGTGGTGCCCAGCACTCCTGGCTGTGGTGGGGGGACTTGCACTGCAGGTCACAGTGGTCAGGGAGGAAGCACCAGGCTGACCAGGCAAAACCGAGCCCTTTGCAGACAGCCCAGACTTCAGGGAGCGCTGGGGAGAGGCACATTCAGCCACACTGCACACACCCGCTCAGAGCCTGAAGCGTGAAATGTGGAATAAGATTTCATGGCAAGTGAAAATCGTTGGAAATTCATCTTTCAGAGTCCATAAATAAAAGTCGATTGGAACACACACACGAAAAGTGAATTTAAAAACTTACAAGGAGATTCTTTTGTAGTTCATAAGTGAGATGATTCGGTTTTCATGCAGATGCGTGATATGTGCCTGCCTCAAACCTTGTTACGACGTCGGCGCATTACGCGCCTGACATGAAGAAAAAAAACTTGCAAAGGGACATTCCATATTCTTAATCTTAAATTGCTCAGGTGGTCATGTGACACTTTTTGTTTTTTAAGTTCTCAGTTAATTGAACATTACAAATCCGTGGTGACATGTACGCGTTGTTTTGTGTTGTATCCTAGGGAGGCGTCACATCCATCACCTGGGCAACCAGCTGCAGTTGAACCAGCACTGCCTGGACACAGCCTTCAACTTCTTCAAGATGGCCGTGAGCAAGCACCTGACCCGGGGCCGGAGGATGGCCCACGTGACCGCTGCCTGTCTGTACCTGGTCTGCCGCACGGAAGGCACACCACGTATCCTTTGGTTTGGGGCCTTCAGAGGACCTCTGTCTTGGTGCTTTGTTGGCTTCCTCAAATGCTGTGATTCGCTAGTTCAGGAACGTGGTGTTTGCATTTAATTGGAAACCACTTCCTGGATTAACAGTCTCAGTTGATCCAGGGCATTCTGAATTTGGGGTTGCTTTTTACCAGGTGGAAGAATTGGGAAGCTGGGCACCTGCTCCCTTCCCACGGCCCTTGGGAAGACGGAACGAGGATTCTGCTGGTCCCTGGAAACCATTCCCTGGGTTTTCTTCCTGTTCTCAGACCAGCTGGGACTTGGGCACTGCCTTTCGTGTCTTCTCATGGTTTGAGGAGGTGAAGTGCTACGGCCCTAGTGGGCTGTAGCCTTGCTGGGCTCTGTGTGCCTGCCGTGTGGCGAGTGAGGGAGCAGCTGACTGTCAGTGGTCTACGGCTTTGCCTGTCTGGAGAGGACAGGTGGTCTGGTCTTCTCTTATGCCTGGGTTTCCGTGCACCTGGCTGTGCATCCAGCCCTGTGCTCTCTGCTGCCCTCTGTAGACATACACATGCATCAGACACTCTATTAGTTTCATCTTGTGAGGAAACTTTCTAGAGCTTTCTAGCCTCTTTCACTCTGGGCTGTCCTGTCATGCACGTGTGTATTTGGAGCTTCTTTTCCCCGTTACTCTGGGGTTCCCTTTACCTCTCCTGTGTGGAACCCTGCTTCCTGGCTCCCGCCCTCCTCAGCTGGGGAGGGCACCTTCTGTGAAGGCTTCCTGAGAAAGGGCCGTCACCCCTACCCTGTTCCAGCAGGCTGTGCTTGGCGTGGCCCCACTACCTCTCGCCCCCAGCATGCTTGTCGAGTAGTTCTGCGCCACTCCGGTTCTTGATCCTCGGGGTGTGGCTGGTATAGTTTTCCCTGAAAGCCTGTAGCACCTTTTCTTTAATTTCAGTGTTGAGAAATTTCACAATATGTGAGCGTCGCAGGCCCTTTCCGCCTGGCAGTCTCCTGTTTTGCTCTTCTCTGGAGTCACTGTTTCCATTTCTCTCCCTTCTTGTCTTGGTGAACTTTACTTGCCCTACACTGGTCTCTAGTTGTCTGTCCTTCCTTCCCACCTACTTACCTTTTTGCTTTGCGAGGCCTTCCAGCAAAGTCGTGCCTTTTAAGTTCTAAGAGCTCTTTTGTTCTCCGAGCATTTCTTTTTTATGTAATACTCCATTCTTCACGGCATCTTGTAGGAAATGCTGTGGCATCTTCTCATCTTGTAGGAAATAGTAGTACTTGGTTGAGCTCTTTCTCGTGGGGTCTGTTTCTTTCAGTCTGGGCTCCCTCGGAGGCTGCCCTCGGTGTCGGGTGATCCTGCCGGGTCGTCCCGGTGCTGGGGACAGTGTGCTGGGTGCTGTGCTGACTGTGCTTCCCTCTGGGCAGCCCTCAGTCCCAGAATCTTTCATTAAAATGTCCTTTTAAATTTTTGAAATGTATCATTTCAGCATAAAAACGTATAAAGCACACACACGCCTTAAGGGCTGATGCGAGGTACCCCTGCAAGCCCCCCCTGGACGCCACCCACCCTGCCTGCTTCCTGGTGCCCTCCCAGCTCCTCCCTGGAAGTCACTCTCAGAGGCCTGCTCCAGCCTTGCTCAGTGCCACCACGGTTAGATGGAGGCCTGGAAGAGAAGCTGAGCAGAGTCTTGGGGTCTCTGGCTCTGCCTCCTGAGAGTTTGGGGGCTACTCCAGAGCAGGACCTGGTATGCAGGCGGCACTAGAAATCTGGGCTAGCACAGGGGGACAGCAAGTTGCACTGTGTCTGTGTGTCCACCCCCACTGCGCCCTCCTGCAGGGGAAGGAGTGCCCCCAGCCGCTCCGGGACGTGGGGACCTCGTAGCGAGGTGATGAAGACAAATAGGACATATGGGTCCTGCTGGGCTGGCCACTGTGCTTTGCCATTGCCGGTAGGAGGGGAAAGTTGGTACAGCCACGTGGAAAACTGTTTCCCTTAAAGTTAGCCACAGAGCTAGCGCATGATCCAGCAGTCCCACTCCCAGGCGTCTACCCAAGGGGCATGAAAGCCTGTGTCCACACCGAGACCTGTATGCCAGTGTTCACAGTGGCATCATCCGTGTGGCTAAAAGGTGGAAACAATCCAGCCATCCCCCAGCCCACGAGCGGATTAGCAGAATATGGTGTCTGGACGGAGAGTTGTGCAGCCATGAAAAGGAATGAAGCCGCTGAGGAGCCTCAGAAACACCGTGCCCAGTGACAGCCAGACACCGCAGGCCACGTGCTTGTGACTACTTTATTACGGAACGTCCAGAATGGGCAAATCCACAGAGATAGAAAGCAGATTGGTGATTGCGGGGGGCTGGGGAGGGGAGACAGGGAGTGACTGCTAAAGGGTCTGGGGTTTCTTTATTTTTTGAGACGAATCTTGCTCTGTCACCCAGGCTGGAATGCAGTGGCTTGATCATAGCTCATTGTAGCCTTGAAATCCTGGGCTCAGGTCATCCTCCTGCCTCAGCCTCCTGAGTAGCTGGGACTACAGGTGTGTGCCACCACACCTGGCCTCATACAATTTCTCTGTCTCCAAGTGGCCATAGCTTACTTCCCAGCTTTCCCCTGGTTTGGTAGCGCTTTAGTGGGAGGTGGGTTGGGGCAGTGGCAAAAGGTCCCTCTCTGTCCTCTTTCCAGGTTGGTGGCAGCATCATGCCCTTGGCCTTCTAGCCACTCACCCTGGACATGCCTCTGTCTCTCACCACCCTCCAGTCCCTGCCCTTTCTCCCTCGCTGCTAACCCTGGCTTGGCTCTGTGGCCACCATTCTGGCCTCCTCTTCCGGCTGGCTGGCCAGGCTCACGCACTGCCTCATTCCTTCAGGAGCCCCACTTCCCTTCCACAGAAGATCTGTTCCTGGGAGGACACGTGAGGCCTGGCTCTCTTTTCCTTGCCCAGGGCTGCCTGGCTGCGGGGTGCAGCCTGTGTGGGTCGAGTATGCCTCACTTCTCAGCGCCCCCTGCCTGTGGGACTCTTCCAGGACTACCCCTTTTTGCCAGGGGAGGCAACTGCACCTTCCACTTGCTGTCACTGAGACTTGGGATGGTCCTGTGTGGTGAGGACCCCCACCTTGGGAGAAGCATCCCCAGGATCCTTCTGTCACCTTGTCCAACCATGCATAGGAGCAGTGTCCTGGGCCCAGGACACAGGAAGTCCTTGTTCAGAAAGAACTAGGGCTCGATTTAAAAACATTCAGGCTCATTCTTTCTCCTCCTATCACCCTTCATTCTTGCCAGGCCCCCCAGACATGTCCACCAACACCAGGGGATGCCAGGCACTGTGCTCGGGCCTTGCACGCACGGCCCTTCTCCTTACCCTGCAGCCCGGCCCACTGACACTGCCAGCCCTGGTTCACAGAGGAGGAGCCCACTCCACCCAAGTCTGGAGAGTTAGGGCCTGGGAAGGCCCGGCTGTCCCCTGGGCCTGCGTCTTCTCCTGGTTCTCCGCTGGGGCAGCATGGGGCAGCAGGACTGAGAAGGACCTGCTGCCTGGACCTCCTGCTCTCAGGCAGGACCTGGACATCATGGGCAGAAACCTCAGGGCTGTAACAAGCACCCCTTCGTAGCCAAGCAGGTAACTTGTGGCCGGTGCATTTTTCCTGAGTTGTGTGTCCAGATTTGTCATTGTAACTTTGTGTGAAATATACATTAGTGGAAGGTGGTGCTTTTACCCATAGTTAGTTTTTAAGTCTTTGCTATTTATTCAGCTTTAGCTTGGCTACTCCAGGCCCGCATGGGAACAGGATGTCTAAGGATGGTGAGGACGGGTAGGTGGGTCTTAGCAGGAGTCTAAGCCAGGAAGCTGGTGGTGGCTGCCAGGAGGGAGGAGGCCAAGCAACCACCGATCGCTTTGCCTTTCCTGTTTGCCCGTTCCGGACATTTCATACAAATGGGATCATGCAGTGTCGTTGGTAACTTACTGTTTTCCATAATGACTGTGCCATTTTACTTTCCCACCTGCTGTGTAAGAGAGTTCCAGTATCTCTATATCCTCAATAATGCCTTTGTAAATGAAATTTTTATTTGGTGCTAATACAGTATCTTTTAAATTAAAAATTAGACAAATTTTTTGTACCTTTTGAGGTTTCCTTTTAAGCCACATGCCTGTATTATCTATTTAAAGAATAATTTTACAAATGTGTACATAGGGACAAGCCATAAAGCTGTACCAGCTGGATCCAAGATCCTCTTTCCCCAAGGGCAGCCCATTCTTGGTTCTTCAACAACCCTTTCATCAGCCTTAAAGAACCAGACTTTTGCTTCGTTGTTTATCTGCATTGTATGCTTATAATATATTTCATTGATTTCTTTCTGTTATTTCTTTCCTGCTATTTATTTTCCTTGGGTTTAATTTACTGTTTTTCCAGCACCTTGAGACATGCCTAGGTTCTTGGTTTTCATCTTACGGTTTTTTCTAATATAAGCAGTCAAGACTATAAACTTCTCTCTGTTACATCACACAGTTTTGATGTGTCACATTTTTATTACCATCTTGTTCAAAGTATTTTTAAATTTTCATTGTTATTTCTTCTGAGATCCATAAGTCGTTTAGCAGTGTATTGCTTATTTTGAAAACAGAAATTTTCTAGTCACCTTTTTATTATTGATTTCTAGTATGATTCCATTGTGGTCAGAGAACATGCACTGAGTGATTTCTGTATTTTCCAATTTGTTGAGATTCGGTAGACAGCTCAACAGACTATTTTGGTAGCTGTTCCGCGTGCACTCGAAGGGAATGTGTGTCTGCAGTTGTCGGGTGGAGTGTTCTGTAAATGCCAGTCAGGTCAGACTGGTTAGTCACGTTCAAATCATCCTGACTGATTTTTTTTTTTGCCTGTTTTTGTCCTGAAAGAATACTGTGCAAATCTCCCACTGTAACTGTGGAATTATCTGCTTTTCTTTTACCTTGTCAGTTTTCCATTATATTTTGAAGCTGTGTTATTAGGGGGGGACACAAATTCAGGAC